TTATATATATATAAATGATCAGGGTGAAGAGACGAGTTGAAATCCGGATGACTGTCTGTCCGTGCAAGCTCTAACTTGAGTAAAACTTGAGATATATTTATGAAACTTGGTAGACACGCAATAAGATAAAAGACTGTTATTTGGTACACAGGATCACATTAGGGAGGGGCATCTGCAGTTAAATTTTTTTTTTAAAATTGGGCGTGGTCCCGCCTCTAATAGGTTTAATGTGCATATCTCCTAAACGGCTAATGCTATAATAACAAAATTCACTGGAAGCAAATTTTTTTGGTACTTCTATTGACGGTGTGAAAATAGTTGAAATCAGGTGGCAATTCCGCCCACTCCCCATATAACGGTACTGTTAAAAACTACTAAAAGCGCGATAAATCAAGCACTAAACACGCCAGAGACATTAAATTTTATCTATGGGATGGTATGAGATGACTTTATAGGAACCGCGTTCAAAATTAGACAGTGGGCGTGGCACCGCCCACTTTTAGGTGAAAACCCATATCTTAAGATCGGCTTAACTGATTTCAACCAAATTCGGTGCATAACTTTCTTCTCATATTTCTATGTTATAGTGCGAAAATGGGCGAAATCGGACTACAACCACGCCTACTTCCCATATAACACCATTTTAAATTCCATCTGATTCTTTCACTTTCCACTACGCATATCAAGCAACAATGATTATATCGGAATAAAACTTTTCGTGAATAATGCGATAAAAGTATACCACCTTGTGGCCGAAAATTGTCTAAATCGAACCAAAACTGTTTAAGCCCCTAAGTACTAAATATGTGGACCCCAGTGCCTATAGTTGACCTTCTACCGAAAATATCAGTCAATCCACAAAGAAGTCTCAAACGAGTATACTATTTGACTTTGCAAGAGTATAAAATGTTCGGTTACATCCGAACTTAGCCCTTCCTTACTTGTTTTAAAATTATTTTATGCTAATTCTCTTTGCCTTTTAAGTTCTATGTTACTCATACGACATAGTGTACAACAAGTATATGATTACAGTACACTTGATGCATAACTTTTAATTGTTTGGGGCAAGGTTTATCATGAAAATAAGGGCTTATTATGGTCTGAATTTTTTAGATGGAAAACTGAAAGTTAGTGGGCGTCTCGTGAAAATAATCAATTTCGTAAATAACGGACACCCTAATAAGGACACACATAAATTGTTAATTTTATTCATCATTATATACTTTATCAGAGAACGTATATCATAGAGAAGGTTCATGGTGTGCCGATTGTCAAAATGTTCCTCTTGCGGAGGGTTACTCGCCAACTTAAGAGGATCTCACCTCAAACCAATTATAAGCGGATTTCACCAAAAATTTACCGCTGCGGAGCGCAAAAATAGCAAATTGAGCATTTGAATGTAAATGAGAAAAATAATGCTAAATTCAATGTTAAGAAATGTACGCTTACAGATTCGTAAATTTACAATGCGCAAACGACTTTGCATATAATTTAAGATATTCTGCATATACAGGCGGCTCACGAATCGTGCTACAAAAATTAACCGTAATAAGTTTCTTTTTATCAATCGTTTTTGTATTGTATAAAAAATTTTAATTTTATTTTATACAATTAATTATTCCTCCATGCTCAGCCATGCATATTGGACACCTAATTAGAAAATTAATGCGGCTGGAGGGTTCAAGTCGGGATGCCTCAAATATCTATTTAATGGACTGCTTCAGTTCAGTCAGATTTCTGGTTTGATTTTGTACACCTCTTGCTTGACATAACCCGATAAGAAAAGACGAAGCGGTCCCAAATATTCTTATTCAAATATAATGTTAAATTATTTATGTAAACAAATATGAAAGTACCCATTATAATTGTTAATTTTTTCTAATGACACGTATGTATGTAATATGTACACTCATGTTTCATGCGAAAATCCCGTTGCACGGACAACCAATGGCCGAAATCACGTTTTTTGTTTTCTTGTCAAAGAGTCACTGTGTCGAAGGACTGACGCGACGACAAAGTGTCACAACATTGTGTGTTGGTAGAAAATCCAAGCTTGCCGAAAAATATTAACGAACGGCCGCCGATTTCACCGCTTCCCTTGCCGCTCTAACAGCTTGCCACAAATCATCGTAAATATGTATGTTTATATATGAGCATGCATACATATTGACGCAGATTTTTGTGAGACACGGAAAAATATTTAAAATTGTAAAATATTTTAAATCGACAAAAGCTTTGTTGCCAGTTTGTCAATTTTTCTGTGTTTTGTGGGCTTGCGTGGTTGCAACTTTTCCCTTCCAGAGGGAATATCAGAAATTTGTTCAATTTATGATTTTTAGCTTTTGCCATCGTGCGAAAAGAAGCTTGTTGGCAAACGCATGCTCGGGGGATGTGTGAGGGTATCTGTTTTTATGAATGAAGCGAGTTGCTTGTTAAAAGTACGCCTGCGTTCATGAATGAAAATGTTGTTGTTGTGTAATTTACTATAAATTTGGGCTTCGCCTATTTGGCTGACATATTGACTTGTGAAGATTGTTGTTTTTGTAGAACAATGTTTGTAGTTTTTGCGGGTGACATATTTACTTGTGTACGCACACACATATGTAGGTTTTGTGTATGCATTATTTGTTCGCAATTTTATGTAGATATATGCGTGTACATATAAATCAATGCGCGCACATATAGTGTATTGATAAGTGATAAAATCATGATTTGACTTTCTGAATGCGTACATTCAAATACATACGTACATACATATGACTATATAAGATTAATATGATAAAAGATGTACATACATACATATATTGTAATAAATTTAATCTCTATTATTATAATATTAAATATTTATTAGGAATGTATATTAGGTAAAAACTAAATAAAATTAATAAATGCCCAAATTGACTATGAATATTATTTCGAAATTTCATAATTTAAAAGATCTTATCAGTTTTGCATGCATTCATAAAAATTCGCAAAATGATATTCATATCAATAAATATGTTTGCATATAAGCGTATAAGAATATAAGCCAAAAGGCTAACATGCAGCTGTAATATCAAAGCAAGTCTCTGAGCATAATTTTCATACAATGCTCAGCTCTGTTCACTCTCCACTGTTAAAATTTCTCCTTCCGAGCCAATAGTGGTGAAATCCACTATTAAAATCTTGTTAGGTTTTGACAATTCACACGCTGGTCCGCAATTGAACCTTCTCTATCATATACGTTCTCTGCTTGTATATGTAGATTTACGTATGCATAACTTATTTTGCAATGTCATATGCATATTTGTACATACATACTTACATATAGAGCAGTGCGCGCACATGTATTTATTGATAATATCAAAAAAATTGCATAATCTTTTGCATTTTATCATGCCGCATTTGTGCAAAAAAATCATATTTTATCAAGTTTTCATTATAAAAATCGTTCATTTGACAAAAAATAATCACGCATATGTGAAGTGTCATTTGTATAGGTATTATGTTTAAAGTAATTAATTTTTCTCTTCATGTTGGTAGATACGTATTTTGTCAGAGAACGTTGTTATAAATTCTCATTTTTGTTACTGTTCTGTGAAGATCTGTTACGCCTTCTCGTTCATTTACGTTCTCTGTCGACACTACGAAGAAACATTTTTAAAGACTCTTTCGTTTGCCATTTTAGTTTGTTGACTGCGTTTATAACATTGAACCCTTTATTCGTATAATATACTATAATATATATATAATATAATTGTTCGCGATTGTTTATTTTTATAAGAATACTGTGGTAAATTATGGTTAGATAAAATTTAGGGTTAATTTTCATAGTCGTCAGCGTCTGATGTATTGATTTTATGTATATTATTATTAAGAAAACTTAATATAAAAACCCTTTTGTTTGCTTTATTATTCACAATATTATAAGTTTTTTTCGCATTCACAGTCACCCGACAGCATTATTAATGGAGGTCGTTAATCTTTTGTTTGTATTCATTTCTTACGCCTTTTTTGCGGTATTTGATGTAGTTGTTTTTATTTGTAACAAAATATATATGTATATATGATGTTGATATCTTAGAAAACGTATGTACCATATATAAAGAGGTTTGCTTTATTTGAAAATATTTTATTTTTTAATTTATATTCGTATAGAGCTCTTGTGTGCATTGGAGGTCTTCCCCAACGCTTCACTGTAATATTAAATATAAACCATCAAGATATTTACACTGCATTCAGATATGGCATTCCTTCTAATTTTTTAGCATGCAGTGTTTTGTTATTGTAGAAAAGCAAAGGTTAACAAGTTAACCTTATTTTTACGCACGCGGGCAATTTACTGCCAAGTTTCCTTTTAATACAAATCGATTGCGGTATCTAATAAAATAATAAATTTATATTAGTTCAAGCGTTGTTTTTTACGTCTTCTAATATTGGCTTGTTTCACGTTCATGATTGAAACATGATATAGTTTTAAAAATCTATTTAAACTAATCGAAAATAATTTTTTTGAAACGTGCATTGAAATCAAGTGAAGTTTTTATTACGTTAACCTATAACACGATGAAATAGTGTTCCCATTATTCAAAGGTGCGCAAAGAGTGAGAGAGTTTGAGCAACGTAATAATTACAGCAGTATAGCAGCTCTGTCGCATATTTAACACTACTGCTGTACAGACAAAAATTGATTGTTGCCGATTATTTGTGTAAAATGCGCGCAAAAAGTGACAGCAGAACGTGATGCTGTTGCAAGTATGGCCAGAAATTCACGCAGAACGTGATACTTTGCCACTTTTGCAATACTGCTGTCGTGATTGCCATCTCGAACGCACCAGTATCTTGCCAAAATATTATATTATTTTGACAAAATTTTTTAGATGAAGTTTTTAAAATGCCTATATTTTACTGGGCTTAGTTCAGAGATAATACGCTTAGTCCCCTATAAATTGGTATTCATTATAATCTGTTTTAGTATTTTGACTTTTATAAAAGACGTTTCAAATAGCTACTCGCGCATTTTAATCCCAAATATAAATATCCGTTTTTGTACTTGCCTCTGAGTCATGTCTCAATATCTCAGAAACTTCATCATCGCCACTGTCCCTCAAATTAAGAAAACTCCTTGTCACTCTTTTGCCGTGCTTCAAATTATCGTTGCATCCTCCCCATTGAAAGTCTTGACCAATTCTATTTTGCTTCCTCGGGCCACAGATACACTTAGTCATTCGGCCTTCAGAACACGATCGTGCAATAGTGTGCGTTAAAGCTCCTGCAGTAAGTGCATGTACGAACGCAGTTTCTTTGTATAATTTTTTAAAAATGTTACATTTGCCTCGGGTCTCAATTGAACAATTCCAACGATCATATCTGAATTGACTTTCACAGTGGGATGTTGCTAATCGTCGAGCTTCGAATATTGCATTTGGAAGACCAAACTCTTTACGACATTGGTGATTTTGACGCCTCGTAGCAGGCATGTAAATGCAAGGACCACCGACTTGTCCTTGTGAAGTAAATACCGCCATTATAGTATGCTCAGATATAAAACGCTCTATGAAAATAAAAGACATATTTAACAAGGTGACGCATGACAGTTTCATCAAAACTTATAATGTTTCCTTTATACTACATATAAATTAAATAAACTATTAACATCCTTATTATATATGATTTATCACGAGCGTAAAGGGGTCGTTAGATAACCGTATACCACGATTTGCATTATGTATGTATACTGGCTATTAATCATAAGATGTCCCTATTACTCCCGCTCCTTGTCATACAAAAATTTCAATTTCATTGGGCAACTTCTCAAGATGGGTTTTTTTGCGACTTTCAGAGTATGAATACCTTGAATATTATTAAAGAATATTATGAATATATTAGATTTGATTGATTTGCGAAAAGTTATTTACAATAGACGATCTCCAAACAAAACGTTACTCTTTTAATACTTTACGAAAAGTGAAGTCAAACAAACTAAACTTCATATATTTTTTTTAAAGATTCTTTAACAATTTGCCATGTATATTCAAAACTAATATTTAAAATTGTAAAAATAAATGAACGCAACCAATTTTTTTTTTCCATTTACTTGTTGTATTATTGTTTCTAAACGACAAACTTGATAATTCAGAGACATGCTTAGAAGCAGATATCTCCATCGAAGCTGGTTGACCTTGTGTTTAACTCTAGAGCCGTAACACCTGGGCGTAATCATTTTCATTCCATTATGCAGGCCATCCAGGCGATATATTGAATAACGAATGTGAACCGTTTAAATACTTTAATACTCTTAGTATGTAAAATAAATTCCTTAGCGAGGGAAGTCTCAAAAAATATATTTTATCCGTGAACACGCGGAAGAAATAAGAACACGTGTCGTTTTGATTGTCGGAATAAGAATTCTCCGATGACTAGAATCGGCTCTCTCTATGATTGAATTTAGAACAAAGAAAGTGTCAATTACAAATTTAGGTATTCAGCACATTTCGACAGAACGCAAAGCGTTTTGCTTTGTTTACAGTTATTATTGGTATGCCTTTATGTGAGGGCCACCAGCAATGTTAGATTATTTCATTCAAAACGGAAAAATAATATCGAGTTCTTAAATAACCATAGAAGTTAATAACAATTTTATTTACAGTTACCATAAAGCTGCTGTGTCGAGACCCGCCCCTCTCTAATATGAATCATCCCCGAATCAATATCATTTTATCCAAAATGGCGTTAGATGATATTACTTGAAATTCTAAATTTTTATATATTTAACAAGTTTTATAGGATTTTTTAAATTACTATTATGTACCAGAAAAATTAATGATTTTCAAAAAGTTTCATTCGCTCTTCCAAAATATTTATGTTTTTAAGTTTAAATTCTTTACTCTTTGTTTCAATATATTCTTCAATTTCAAAATTATTAATATGATTACTCTTTGAATATTTCCAAAATTTTTCAATCGACATTATTGTTAATATTTGTATAATTTTCAAAAGTAACAAGGTAAACTTTATTTATGTCATAGCTATCAATTGTGTCATTTCCAGAGACTAATATTGCTCCTTCATTGATTGCATCTATTTCTTAGTTTCTATATTGTTGCAATATGTTGCTACAGAGTATAATAGTTTTGTTCACCTAATGGTTGTTTGTATCACCTTAAATTAATAGAGTTAGAGATAGGGTTCTATACATATAGATGATAAGGATAATGAGACGAGTTTAAATCTGGTTGGGTGTCTGCCTGTCGTTCTGTCTGTTCGTCTGTGCAAGCGATAACTTGAGTTGAAATTGAGATTTTTTAATGAAACTTTGTGTTCCTTGACAAAAAAGTAAGGACGAGTTTGTAGATAGGCGTAATCGGTATGTCTACAAAAGCCATTAATCGCAAATAAAGATATTATATAAAATATTATAACTAAGCACTTAATTAAGGAACTGTAATTTAGTACAGGAGATTGTCGTAGCAAGGGGCACCTGTAAGCCAAACATTTTTTAAAAGTGGTCGTGGCCCATTCTAGCTATGTATATCACCCAAAGTCGCTTTGGATAAATAATTTGAGTGCTCCTACCGACAGTGTGAAAATGGATGAAATCGGATTATAACCACTCCATCCTTCCATATAACGGTTTTGTTAAAAACAACTAAAAGCACGATAAACCAATAAATAAATGCTTCAGAGACATAACATTTTAAAATCGAGAGGGTACTAAAATGCTTTATAGGAGCCAATGCCAAATGTGGACGATGGGCGTGGCACCGCCAACATTTAGGGAAAATCCATATCTTGGGACTTATTTCAATGATTTAAAACAAACCTGGTACATAATATTATCCTGAAGATTCTAGGTTATATTATGAAAATGGGCGCAATCCGACATCAACCACGTCCTACCACACTAATTCCCTTATAGCCCAATTTTAATTTATATGATTCTTTCACTTTCCAGTATATAAAACAAGAACAAATCCATGTATCCGGGTTAAACTTTGCACAAATAGTGCCCTCAAGATATTTTATCCTATGCCTAGAAATTATCAAAATCGGACTATAGCTTTTGAAGAATCCGCCAAATATGAAGACCACAGTGCCTATGGCTGACTTTTTGCTGAAAATATCGGTCAATCTGTAAGATATATTATTGAAATTCGGGGGAAATGTTTCTTTGATAATATTATATCCTTGTGTACAAAATGACTAGAATCTGCTCAATACTTTTTTTGGCCCCTATATACCTAATAAAAAGATTTTCGAACTTCTAGTTTACTTTATAACACATATACCGGCCCATGTGGGGTTTACTTTAATTAAATTGAGAGAGCGTATTTTTCTAACAGTGTAAGTTTGTGCCAAAAATAGATAAAACCGTGGCAAATTGTCTAAGCACCCATATAACTGATATTCACGCTTTGGATACTTTACCCCATACACAGGTTGGTTGAAAAGTTTCTGCGCTCGAAATTAAAAAATACCGTTTTTGGTACGAAATATTTTTTTTTTATTCAATATAATCCTTCCTTTACTTTAATACACTTATTCCAATGATCCCCCTCATCCTGATTCTGATCCTACGGCTGTAATAGCTACTTCATTCGACGATAAACGCTTTCCATGAAGGAAATGTTTCACGTTTCTGAAGAGGTAATAGTCGCTAGGAAATCTGGTGAATACGGTGGATGCTCAAGCAATTTTTACTTTAATTCGTTAAATCGTTTCATTGTTACAACACCTTTGTGAGCAGGTGCATTCTCTTGTTGAAAAATTGTATTTTATTATTGGTTTGTAGCACAAGTCTTTTCTCGAATTTTTTCATCCAGTTGATCCAAAAGGCTACAATAATATTAAGGAAAAACTGATGCAATAACCTTCTGTGCTGATCGTTGTGACTTCACTTGCTTTGGAGCTGAACAACCAGCTTCAGTCCGTTCTTGTTTCAATTTTGGATCATATCAATTAACATTCTTCTTACGATTCACTCAGTATCAATTAACATTTCATTTGCTTGTAAAGAAAATTTAATACTATTTAAACTTGACCGTTGTGCTGTGGTTTGAATTTTTTGACACATTTGAACTAAATAACGTGTCTTCTGAAGCAGTGGCTCTCCTAAATGAAACCCAACAAGCAAATCCGTAATACTCAGATCTTTTATTCCTTGAGAAATAAGATCATTGAACTTATCAATCATTTTCATCGATATATGAGGCTAACGATTGCGCCACGATTGGTCAGCTTTATTAAAATAATAGCAGTGGGCTCAATTAATATTACACCTTTATATAGTGGTACGTATAAGGTGGTAGATCCAAGTCTCATCCATAGTTACAAAGGCTCCAAATTATGTTGAGAAATTTGTTTTCGATCCAGTTATTTTTATATTGTTAACGTGTGAGCCTGTAATTTGCCAACTGGGGGATGGAGATTCGTAAGATTTCGTACGGATTCACAAAAGTGAAGGTTATGACCTACAAATCAGATGCCGATGCAGGAGAAAACTTGGCATCGGAATCGGAATGCGAAGTCGAGGAAGATCCAGTGAAGTCCTCGAGCGATGTAAAGAACATTGACCAAGGTGAGTGTACTTCGGGGTCTGAGCTTGCAGACAGACTCTCTAAACTTTACACTGAGAGTGAGCTTTTAAGCGACTCTCATGATGATGCAGAAAAGACACTAATTAATGCGACTTCTCCAAATTAATCAACACCACAGCAAACTAGCGTATCTAGCCCTAGTTAACCGCATGGCAGAAGAACGGCCTGACTTCGTCCTCATTCAGGACCCATGGGAAATGCAAACCACACACTATGGGGAAGCACGGACATCAATGAAAGGGGTGAGTAGCTCTTTAATTATTTAATAGGAAGTAAGCTTTTGTTATGCAACAAAGGTAGTACGCCAACATTTATAACCAGAAACCGACAGGAAGTATTAAATATAACACTGGTATAGGAAGAACTGGTGGATAAAATAACACATTGGAGGGTATTGGAGGAACATTCCTTCTCAGATCACCGCTACATTGAGTGTATAATTGAAGAAAATGTAGTTAGGGAAGAGAAATTTAGGAATCATAGGAAAACGAACTGGCAGATGCACATGCAGGAGCTAAAAAAGCGTATTCCTATGAATTCACCATTCCAACCAGAAAACAAAGAGGACCTAGACATCCTCGTTAAACAATTCACAGGTTCTTGTCGTCAAGCATTACAGGTGGCTTGTCCATTAACATACAGTCGGGGAAGAATTAGCCCTCCTTGGTGGTCTCCCATACTTAAGAACATGCAGAAAAATTGCAGGAAGCAATTCAATTTTGCCAAATTATTCCAAAAAGATAGAGAGTGGGATAACTATTATAACCACCTACGGACATATAAAAAGGAGGTAAGAAAGGCAAAAAGAAATTCGTGGAAATCTTTTTGCAATGACATCGTGAATACGGCAGAAGCGTCTCGACTGAGAAAAATAATGACCCAGTCGAAACATAGCATCGGATACCTTCAGAAGCCAGACCATAGCTGGACGGTATCCAGTGAAGAGACTCTAGGCCTACTAATGGATACTCACTTCCCAGACAGTTCC